GAGCGTCCAGGTAGTGTAAGAATTGCAGGACAAAATTTCAAATCTGAAAACGAAGGATCTATAGTTTGTTTACTATCAACCAAAATATTCCTCTTCCTAGTCTGAAGTTGAAAAGATGAAGAGGGTCCATAATAAATAATTCATCTCCTTAAGAAGCTATTGATTGAGAGAAAGCCCAGGTAAGTGCATTCGTGCGTATTTTCGTAGCAGTGCTAATATAAAATAACGCGATAAATTGGGAAATCCTTCTAAACCAACAGATTGAACACTCTCAGTATCACTAAGCAAATCTACTCTGGACCTGAGATGATTATATTTTTCACTCTTCACCTCCAGGAATGAAATCTTGGCTAATAGTGTTGTCAATTAGTGGTCAGAGTCCTCTTCGCAATCATGAGCAAAATAGCATCGATACCTCTATTATTGTTATTATTATTATTTTGTTATTAAGACAATAATTCAGTAATTTTTTAACATAGGTGCTGATGTTGAGAGAGGAGCACTGTGTCAAGGGAGAGATAAATGTACAGTATGGGGGAACGAGTATGCATACTACGCTGGTGGGCCTGATTTTGTCTCTCTCGTTAGTCGAAATAAGAACCATGTTATATAGGTTCTTTTAGAAAGAAAGATGGGGTGGAGGGGAGAGGAGTAGGAATCAGAAGAGGTGAGTATGGCGATAAGCCAAGTAAGAGGCACTGGGGAGTATAAGAGTCTGAACATGTCAGACCCAAGGCAAGCATTTGTTCAGAATTAGAGTGGCGCTTGTAAATAAAAGTACATCTCGAAAGCGCCAAGCACCATTAACAATTAGAAGGTAAGAAACATTTAATGAAAAATAGCCTGAACTTTCGGCTTAACATTCTTGGCTAATATCTACGTAGGAAGGCGAATGGATATTAGCTACTGATTAAAAGGAATAATCTTCAAGAAGAGGGAGAAAAAGGGAAAGCAGATCACTCAAATAATATGGGAGGAAGAAAATTTACAGCCGGAGGTAGGGTAGGGTGACGAGGAATAAAGGAAATGCGTAAGATAGGTGCAAGATAAGTTGACAGGTTAACTAATGGTGACGAACCGACGCTTGGTGGACAAGTCAGCACTCAGCAAAGGGATCATTATTTCTGTGGAGAAATCCAGATCTGAAAGATTAAAGTACTGTGGTTGATGGCGAAAAAGATACCCTTATGAAGATAGATAATAAAATGGACGAGACAGAACCAGTTGATGCGCTGGAATCTCATGGCGTGAATTAAATGTGGAAAAAAACGCAAAAATGTGCACTCATATTGGCCAGCATAGATGAAAAATATGACAGGAATTTACTGTAAAAGAAAATAATTCATATAAGGCATCTCACGAGGCTGGCTGTGAAGAGAAGGCAAAATTAAATATATCTGACCCTACAAGACATGTGTTGTTAAAGGTGATGGTTACAAATAAAGGATAAATATTAAAGGTCATATGCTGGAAAAACATTCGGTAATTGTATATGAAAAGCTAAAACGAATGCATGCAAAGGTCAAAAAGCACACAGAACTGGGAATCAAAGTGTAGATTATAGTTTGGATCATAACTATCAAAAAGCTAAAAACGAGGACATTGGCAACGACCAAATAAGAAGCTTGATAAAACAGCCTATCAGGTGAAATAGAAAAAGAGCTGACCTAGAACTCTAATCACCACCAGAAGACAACCAAAACCAACAATTTAGGACAGCTAAATTTTAGATGTCATTTAACTAAGCTGGTTATACTCAAGCTTCTCATTCATATCCCAGCTACGGCATCATTTTTAACTTCGGCTCTTTCGTTTGTTATGGCCCAAATCATAGGCTATACTTGAGCTCCCAATGCTCTGTTCTTTTTTTGACCTTTACCTTATATGCATTTTAGCTTTATTTATAAAGTACCTAGTGCTTTACTATGGTATGCTCTTTAACATTTATCCCTTAGCTCTACATATAACCATTATAATTAATTAACAAAGTACACCAGGTGTCGGATTTCACTTTATCTTCACAGCCGGCCCGTTGAGACGCCTTATGTAAATGATAACCTTTCACATGAGTAAATTCCTATCTTTTCATTCAACTTTGCTGGCCAATATAGTGGAGCATTTTTACGTTCTTTTGTCCATATTCGATTATCAATGTGAGATTCTAGCTCTCCACTAGCACTAGCTCGTCCATTATATTACCTACCATCATTAGGGTTGAATTATCTAGGTGTATTTTATACCACAAACTGCATAAATCTTTAGAGTTGAATTTATTTCTTTACGCATATATTAGTCCTTTTGTAAGATGGCCACATATTCACAGTGTCGTTTCGTCACGACTGATTAACTAGTGGCATTACTGCTGGCAAGAACTGTTGGTGGGGCCGACCTCTTTTCTGAACAACCAACTCCAGCCCTGCCTCTGCAGCTGCCTGTTGATGGGTAAGCCACGCCGACAGGAAGGCGCTTGGATACATTCCCTGATTGCACTGGAATAGTCGTGGAGATGCGTGGAGAAGAAGAAGAGAGCGGACCACTTGTCGGCCTTCGCAAAGAGGATTGTTGGTCGGATATAGGAGTGACAAGCTGGCGCCGCGGAGCTGTGGGTGCAATGCGATTCCGGTTTTGTGCAGGCCGCCGTTGAAGTTTAGAGTCGCGTGGGGAGAGTGAAGCTGAGGTCGAGGAGGAGAGTGAGTGTCTGCAGCTTTCTCCACCATATCCTATGTTTGTTTGGTGTTTTGAGAGGTGCAATGCGCTCGGAAGCAATGTGACTGATTTTTCTGTCAATATTTCGTCGGAAGCAGAAGTGATGTTAATAATGCGAGCAGTAGGTGTGGTGGATATAGAAGAGATAATCTGAGTATTATTGGCACCAGAGCAATAACAGGGAGTAATTTTGCTACTGAGAGCTCGGTGGAGCCCAACTTTCTTCCATTTGGTCACAAGATGACGCAAACTGCCAGGAGAAAATTCAAATAATTTGGAGCAAAAAAGAGACAAGATAAAAGTAGCCAAATTTAGGTCTAAAGTAACAATTTTTCCATCATTTACAATAAATTCTACCAAGCATGGCTTTGAAAATACGATAAAAATAAAACACAAAGGTGC